CTGGGGATGCTGAACTTTCATTAACCCCTTCATGACTGAAGCCTTTTTTTCATTTTTTGCACCCATGTTATATTCCACATTATCTTTTATTTTTTAAAATGTATCATTTATTTACATTTTTAAACATTTTTGTCAACTTTTTTTTTCCAGCTTTTTTCACTGATTTTCTATTCTGCTCTATACCAAGGAGGTACTGAGCAGAATAGCCTATTCGGCTATTCACTCTAGATGTTGGATCGGCTGAGTCGAAGTCCTTCTACACTTTGGCTCAGCCGAACATGCAAAGCATGTTCGGCTGAGCGAAGTGCAGCCGAAGCTGCACTTCGGCAGCTTTGTGAATAACCCTCTTTCTCTTTAAAATAAATACAATGCATTTCCCCATTAGAGCAATCACATCAATTTTTCCATTACCTTCACAGATTTATAATAGCTTTTTCAAACTTGCTGTTGTTATACAGAATATACTGTATGTTTTGAGAGGCTGTATCAAACTAAAGTGTACAAAATTCTGAACATGTGGGAATGGTGTAAATGTGGGGAAACAGCAGTATACATTATAGCTTGGGTTTATTTTGAGAATATTTTGTGGGGGATCAGTTTGATGCTTTGCAGAAAGAACGCTTCTTAGGAAATATCAGCCAAGAATATATTTTAGCTCCTAGTATACTATTTATTGTTGCCTGTTTGCTTTTCTATTTTGCTTTTTTTTTAAGGAGTGATTTATAAATCATCTGCCCACACATATGCTTGCATGCTGTTCACATGGCATTCTCCCCACTAGATGGAGCCAAAAAGCATAGGAAAGTACTATGCTCCTCACCTCATCTATTGGCAAGAATGCTGTGCAAGCAGAATTCATCCAGCATATATCTGGGCGGGTGATTTATAACTTACATAGTTACATAGTATTCTTCTAGATAGGTGATAATAATGTCTATGGATAATGAGAGACATTAATGGCCCTCAAATCTAGGAAATAATAGACCAACAGATGTCATTGTTGATTAGGGTGTGGTTGGAGCCATCTAATGCCCTAATCATGTCTTCTGTGCCCTGCATCCAGAACACAGATGCATAAAATACAACAGAATATTACATAGTGTCAGAAGCTGGAGATCATTACAGCACAAGGAACTATAAAACAAGAATTATTTCCTGGTATATAACCATCCAGCATGAAGATGGGCAGTTTAAACCTCCTGCAGAAAACATGCTTATATCACCTTAATATGTCCTCTTAAAGCAAAACAAGAGGAAGAAAAATGCTGTCATTTTGGTATTTTGGGAGGTGAAGAGGAAAGTGAGGCATTTACAATGTGCATGAAAATATGAACTCAATTCTTATCACAAAAAAGATACAATAACTATGTAACCTCAAAAGCAAACAAAATGGTTGCGGGACACAGATTTCATACAGAGTGCACAGTGTTAGTGAACTAAGTGAACAGTTTTTGATAGACCTGAAACTAGGCAGACCCATGTTGATGGACATATTCAACATATTTAAACTGTTTTCAAGGAGAACCCCTCCAACTAAGCGCAACTAGGTTACAAAAGATCAAATTATGCTTACAAAAAGCATGGGTACATGATTCCAGTTCGCAATACAGTACTTATGCTTACATTTAAAGACCAGAGCACTAATGATGAACCAACTAAGACATTTAATTATGTTCAACTTTCCTATCTCAGATAGGAAACTGAAGGATCAGTGACCGTGTTTAAAGAAGAACTCCAAGCATATTACAAATGAATCCTTGCAGTATTAACCCCGCACTGCAAGGGTTAACTGCTCATTTTTGTTTAGGTTAAAAAACAGTTGATTACATAATCTGAAGAGTCCAAGGGAACTGAAATAATAAAACAAATAGAATAAATGCACATAAATGCACATAGAAGTTGAGAAAATGATTAATTTTTTTAATTGTACAAAAAACCCCACTTAATACACTGTCACTGAGAAACAATTCAACGATTGAGTTTGACCATGCAACTTTTACTGACAGATACAGAGAACTGTTCAAGTTAAGAAACATTTGCTCTGAAAAGCATACACTGCTATTCAGAAGTACATGAATACACGACTTGACCACTTAATGTTGGAGTGATGAGGTTTTGTTTGCCTCTACCATGGGTCTGTGGAGAATTCTGCATGATTGAGGTTCCATAACCTGGCAAAATAATACAGGAATTCACCAAAGTAACCATATTTCACTGCCTGGCCTTTAAACTTAGTTTGGCTGATTTAGAAGGGCCAAAAAGGGGGCTTTTGGATAAGCCATAGAACAAAAAGGATTAGGTCACAGAAGCCATACTGACAATGTGTTTTTTTTATGGCTAGCATAGTAAGTGCTACTGATAAAGTGCATAGGGAGAGATTACTGTAGAGTTTGTAGGCACTGGCAGGTCTGTTAACGTAGATGTAAACCTGTAGTATATGTCCTGCAGGTAGCAAAATATTTTTTAAGCAGACCTTCCATGACAATAAA